GCTCATTATCTTAAATATAGTCGAGCCTCTGACCTTTTTTACCATCATCTTCTAAGCCTTCTACTTGTGGCTCTTTGATTGGTTGAGGTCCAATGTTGATTATTTGGCTTACATTAAGCACCTTTATCACATTGGTTTCAACATCCATGTGCGGTACTTTGGCTTCCAAAGGCGCTTTGAGTTTATTCTCGGCCACGTAAGTCGTGATTCGATTTAACGCATTGAACTCAGTCATCATCACTGAATTTGTCTCCCCAGCTTGTTGGCCATATGTAGCACCCCAAAATTTTCTCATCTTCTCTTGTGATCTTGGCTTATATTTCTTTTCATTTTCATATTCATGTTTGTATAGCATTTGTTCTTGGCATGGGATCAAGGTATCATAGTTTGTTTCTCAAGGAAGAAGGTTGTGTTTCTTCAAGTTCAAGCAAGTTGTTCTCTGTGACTGTGTGGTATTCTCATGCTCCCAAAGTTCCCTCATCTTCAAGTATGATTCAAGGCAACATCATTTCAAGATCATATGTGGTTCACCATGGCTTATTGTGCAAGAAATCATTAAGAGATTCAAGTTTGGTGCAAGGTGTTTGACCTAATATAGCAATTTGTGGATGCTATGATCAAATGGGTATAACTCTTTCATTTTTTAACATCTTGAGGTGGTTCTTTTTCTAATGAACTCTTCTCATCATCCCTAACAAGTTGTCTTTACAAGGAAAGATCAAATTATGCTTGGAAAGTCATCAAAGGTTTGAGGACATTATAGGTCATTTTGAGTTTTTGAAGGTTTTCTTAGTCAAATTTAAAAGGGAATAACTTGGTCAATTTTCATAATTTGGAGCCTATTCTTTTCCTATAATAAACTTGAAGATATCCTATACAACTTTGATTCAACATGGAAGGTCTTGGTTTTCATCAAAACATTATAGGTTTTTTTTTGGTCCCTAAAAGACTTGAAAATTTTCTAAGTGTTTTATGATTTGCACTCTTTCATGGAAGCTACTTTGAAAGATCACATCTTGTCATACCCCAAATTTGTCCTACTTTGGTATTTAATAAATGTCCTACTGCCACGTGATTTCTGGCCATGGCTCTCTAAGGTTTCGTTATAAAGACTTTGCGTATACTCATTGTGGTGATAATCCACGACAATTTATGCTGAATTATTGTGGAAAGAGCGCGCCTCCATCCCCTTGTATCCAAACTCGTGTGTGTCCTCGTTCTCACGCTCAGACATACATGATATGATCAATGACATAAAATACATGATTGGATTTATCTTACCACACAGTTTCAGGAAATTTTACACCCTATTTCAACTTGATTAAAAGCTTTTTCAAAGATTGTTTAAGACTCACTACAAGTTGCTATGGTATGTTCTTAATTCAAGTTAATTCAAAGATACTTCACATGATGCTCATGGACACGGTCGATTTAGCCTCAAGCTTGGCTCGAATTGATTGCGAGCGTCAGGATGTAATCGAATTGGAAAATCAGTTTGTCACAAACTTAGATTTTGCTTGCAAATTTTACATCATATTTGAATTAGAATTTAGACGCAATAAGTACATAAAATATTTTGATCCATTTCGAAGGCTTATGGTACAGTGCATCAGTTTGCAATCATACAAGCTATGTTAAAGGAAAGATGAACCCATATTCTTGTAATAAAAATGGTCAAGAGATTTCAAGTAGACTCTAAACCATATAACACGAGCTACTTTAAGAAATTAGTTTAAGAAATTAGTTCAATGGGCATCAAGTTCAGCATGCACAAGAAAGTATGGCTAGCTCTCATGATACTACCAAAACCCAGAGAAGAAAAGTGATTAAAGTAGATATGGACTCTCATCGTGATAATAGAAGCACTTGCACCTCAAATAACGGAAATGTTAAAGGCTGTGATGATGAGCCTAAATTCGGTCCTAAATTCACTCTCAAAACGTTTAAGAAATCGGCAGATGAATACATAGAATGTGAAATCACAATTATTATAATAGATTCAATACTTCACAAACCCAAGGCCTATAAACATCTCCTTTACAATGTCATCAAAAAAAAAACTTAAAGTTTCAGGGACTGTTTTGGAAATTGGCTGCCATATTTCTTCCTTTTGATGCATACAGATGTTAATTTTGGAAAGCAGCAAAGTTAAATCGAGTTCATCAGTGAGCTACTCCTCACTAGTGTCAACGTGTTGCAAGATGACGGTGGATGTCGTCTTTGGAAACTTTATGTCTCTTTTTTAATCTTCTTCTCTATGGTTAGCATATTCCTTCATATATCTCTCAGCGTCTCCAGTGGCATTGAAAGTGGTGACGGAGTCAAGTATGAGTCGATGTGTATGGACCTGCTTCAGTGCATATGCCATCAAGTTTTTCTTCATTCAAGCACATGGACTGATGTGGCTATGGAAATTCATGCAAGTTGATTACTGTAGGTCCAGCAGCGGAACGTCAATACCGGCAGCAGCCAACGCTTTAAGATTCAAATCTGCCAAGGAATGAAGACGAATAAATCATGACTTCAGAGCTGCATATATATTCGGTTCGTTACGGATTTTCCACGAATAGAAGAAGAGTGCATCTGAAAAAATAGATGAAACTGTTATTCAAACCAAGAAAACCAAAACAGCAGCAAATCTCAAGAAAAAAAACCGCACCTCACAACTGCGGAAAATACCTGCATAATTCGTATGATATCCCAAACGCAGCAAACATCACCATTATCTTTTCAATTAACCCAAAGCAAAACAAAAGATGCATAGAATTCAAAGAAAAAATATAAACTACAAAGTATTACCAGCTCCATCATCAACTGTAACAGAGATGAGTCCAAAGAGGTATGCCTAATCAACAAAGATATCCTGCTCAAGGAACATGGCATCTGAATCAGAAGTTTGGCAATAATCCCTCCTTGGCATCCAGTAAGCTACCGTATTACACAGACCAAACTCATGATCCCTTTTTTTTCACCCACACTTGTTGCATCTCCACACTAGAAGGTTAATCCATATGCCAAGAGCAACACACCTGCAGAAACAAGTAGATACGGTTCGTTACGGCTATGAATAAAACAACACCGTTATTGATAGCCTTCGGAAGCATTGAGCTGTACCTAGCAAGTTGAATCAAAACCGGAATAGCATCAGATTTAACTACAAGTATTAATACCGACACAAGCAAAATGTCGACAGTATGGAAAGCCAGTTTTATCAAACAAGTAACATAGAGATTCTCATATCTGAACTTACTCCAGCTATTGAATGTTGTTGGAACCTTCATCATCAGATAAGTAGAAAACACGCGGTTGTAACAATATTTGGCAACACTGAACAAGATGGTGGGAAGTTTGTCAGACTTGGAGCTGATGCAAGTAATATTGGATGTATTGCTGTACAACTTTTTTCTGGAACTTCACCTTTGAAAATTCAATGGAGGGTGGTTTACGGGCATGTGGATAAGCAAGGTCCGTTGGAACCTACAGAATCCAAGTCTTTTCCAAGTTTCGGTGATTCCAAACACAATATTTTGTGTTCTGAGCCGAAACAGCTATATGCTGCTATAACACGTACAAGACCGAGATTGTGGAGATGCGAGGAAACAGAGGAGTATTGCAGACCTGTGTTTGATTTTTGGAAAAGGAATGTCTGGTACAATTCAAAGAATTGGATGATACATTTGCTCAGGCGATGAAAGTGGCAAGCATATCCACTGCCTCAACTCTGTTACCTTATGACCAAATGAAAAACAGTGTGAGGCTCCTGTAACAGGGAAACAAGAGAATATGTTAGCCATTCAGAGTTTCAAGCGTCAGCAGGAGACCAAAGCCATAGTTCTTTCAAGAATGAAGTAGAAGTTTCTCGTCAACTTGTTACGGCACTGAGATATTCAAAAGATGATTTGAAGTTGGTCACTCAGGCGCAATTTCGAGCACAAGATCAAGTCCGCTTTCTTTCACATGACACCAAACAACATACTCCATCCTCGCATATACTTCAGCAGCAGCTATGCTTGAAGCCCAGTATTTTTGTCGAGATCGCTTATCCTTGTTGTTCGAGTGGTGCGTTCCTCGGTCGATGATGCCGAACCAGTATTTTTGTTGTTAGAGTGGTGAATCATGATGTTCCTAGTGTTGGCAGTCATCCTACCTTTGGCATTGGAACTGATATAAGGACTATTTTCACTGCATCGAGTGCTTCACATATGAGTTGGAATCAGGTGCAACATTGAAGACATGAAGGAAACCAAAATGAAGATGTTGTGCTGGTTCGGCATAACGGTATACCACCTGTAACTTGCGTATAATGTTGTGCTGGGTTGTTCTGGTACCGGGACGACACCACCGACAAGTGTTATACCTGTAACGCAAGTACATATACAGAGTCAGAACAAAGTTTTCATTACTTCACCGGGTCTGCAATCTAAATGTGTAAATTCACCTCTGCTCCATCTTTGAGTCACGTTACCGCTAACACGAACCATCAACTAGGAGTTACTGCTGACTTTTCAGTATTGTGTCCTAGCGACAATGTTACTTTCAGCAACGTCATTTATCGACGCTCAATCCTGCGCTCTGCATGAGTTTACTCCCATCACTATATTTGCACCACAGATCATGACATTACAGTCACGCCAGAAAGAAAATCAGACTTACTATCGTTGGCTTCTTCGCCTTTCAAACAACAAGCCCTCAACTCTCAATCCAGACCTGTAGTAAAAAAAACAAAGTCACATCAGAGTTGTTCCTGCTTTTGTGTGATACGTATAGTAGGAACAAGTAGGAATTAATAAAGCCATATTCATTACCACTTATTTCTCTGCATAGCCAAAACATACCACCACGTTAGGTGAAATCAACCTACATTCCCAATCCCTTCTGGATTGTGATTTCTAGATAGCCTTGCTTAAAGCTGAAAGCGAAATCATGTTGAATTAGGTTTGAAAAAAACACATAATATGAATTTGTGGAAAGAAGAAAAATAGGTTGCGGCGAATCGAAGCATGAGTTACGAGGATGAAGAAAAAAGGTTGAAATTGAAGCGAAATTCTTCTCGGTTTAGCAATTTTCAACGCGATCTTATGGCTGGCGCGTTGATGGGTGGTGCGGTTCATACACTTGTGGCCCCAATTGAGAGGGCTAAATTGTTGTTGCAGACACAGGAAAGTAACTTGGCTATTGTTGCTAGTGGTCGGAGAAAATTCAAAGGCATGTTTGATTGTATACTTCGTACCGTTAAAGAAGAAGGTGTTGTTTCTTTGTGGCGTGCAGGTTGTACATCACTTATCTTGGTATACCCCCTTGATATCGCACACACCCGCCTTGCTGCTAACGTCGGGAGGACGGAAGTGCGCCAATTCCGAGGCATTTACCATTTTTTAGCCACAATATTCCAAAAAGACGGGGTTCGGGGAATTTACAGGGGCCTTCCTGCATCAATACATGGTATGGTGGTTCACAGAGGTCTTTACTTCGGAGGGTTTGATACCATAAAAGAGAAGTTGTCTGAAGAATCTAAACCCGAGTTGGTGCTGTGGAAACGCTGGATGGTAGCTCAAGCAGTTACAACTTCGGTCGGTTTGATATCATATCCGCTAGACACGGTTCGTAGGAGGATGATGATGCAGTCTGGCATGGAACGTCCGGTGTACACTAGCACACTCGACTGCTGGATGAAAATCTATCGAACTGAGGGATTGGTTTCATTTTACCGTGGCACGGTTTCGAATGTGTTTAGGAGCACTGCTGCTGCTACTTCTACTTCAACACAAAACACATCAAATATGCTCTCAGTGCCTCAGTCTAACAACCCAAACGCATAGAGAATGCAAAGATACTAGTTGCAAACACTGCAATGGACACAGACAAGGTGAAGATTTACGGAGCCCGTGTTCGTGTTGATTCTATGGCTAAAGTTGCTGAGATTGAAGGAGCTGAGAAAGAGAAAATGAAAGAAAAGGTGAACAAGATAATAGCTCATGGCATCAACTGTTTTGTTAACAGACAGTTGATATACAATTTTCCAGAGGAGCTCTTTGCTGATGCTGGAATATTGGCTATTGAGCATGCTGATTTTGATGGTATTGAACGTCTGGCTCGGTTACTGGTGGTGATATTGCTTCAACCTTTGACAACCCTGATTCTGTTAAGCTTGGGCAGTGTGACCTCATTGAAGAGATTATGATTGGTGAGGATAAATTGAATAAGTTTTTTGGTGTTGCAATGAGGCAGGCAGGCACAATAGTTCTGAGAGGGGCCAGCCACCATGTTCTTGATGAAGCTGAGAGGTCATTGCATTTCGCCTGTTAAACCAAATTCAGACAAGGCAACTGAGAGGGAACATGTAAGAAGCAGGTTGAACTTTGATTCCTCTGATATGCCTCAAAGGTTGGATTCTGACAAATCATTGCCTAATGAAATTTCTACGACAGAGTCAGACAATGAAGTTCAATTATATGATATTGATTTCCCTAACTTTGACGCCCTTACCATGGACTTTTCATTTGCTGAAATGTTAAACGATCTAGATTTTTCTTGTGAGGGTCTTGATTTTTCATGTGAGCCAAAACCAAGTCATTCAAAACCTGTGTGTTATGATAAGAAAAGGAGAGCAAAATCAGATTAGTGGGGACCACTATTTTCAAATACCACAAAATGACGAAAAAAACACAAAATCAGAATGTAGCAGTAGGTACAACATAATTTCACTGATATGGCAAGGCATTGTGAGCATCTACGAAAGAAATTACAGGGCTTGCAAAAAATGGGGATACCAGCAAAATTCAACCCTAGGCAAACCCTAATTTGGGCATTTAAATAGACCCACCCTTCATTCATAAGAGGGAGAGGAGAAACGAAAAAACCTAGCCAAACTCTGTTAAACTCATTATTCAAAAGCTAAAAGAAATTTGAAGGGTGGTTGAGGTTCAATATCAGAACCTGAGTTTGCTCTGAGCCGACTCATTTTTTCTACAAATTTCAAAACAGAATCATTCAAAGGAAGGAAACTAGTTCGGTGAACATCAAGGGAGAAGAAGAAGCTTTTACCTTTTCTTTGCAGCTCAGAACTTGACGGCCTTGTTTTCAGGTATCCTTTCCCTCAACTTCTAAAATCAGTGAATGTGATGCATTTGAGGGTATGGGTTCGTAATGAGGTTAGGTTTTTATCTTTGATTTCATTAGCTGATGTTTGTTCCATGTAACGACTTGGCTGCGGTTCGCGTTTGAGATGTTAGGGGGTTGGGTTTTGTGGGATTTAAGACTGTGATGTGTTAGTTTGTTTTCGAAGCGAGTTTTGAGGGGGGTTTGCGGTTCAACTTGCTGCTTCATTTTGATGTCTTCTTCCTTTGATGGGAGATGAAGGGAAGGCATGTATGGCGTGAGGAAGAAACTCGGTTGAGTTTTCAGAGAGAGAGAAAAAAATAGGGGGGTCACGCGTTGCAAAGTAATACGCTGTGAGGTTATACCTAATCACCATCATTAAATGCTGAATACATGCCTATAAACTTGGTTTTCTATGGTAGAAATTATTATTGACTATTAATAACATTATTAATATATTATTAGTAATATTATTAGTTTTATTTTTTTTTCATAAATTATGATGATGATTAATATTTGTAATATGACTTATTTTAATTCTTTTTTTAGGATTTTAATAATATTGTTTTTTTTAAGTTCAAAATATTTTTAAATTTAGATTAGAGTAAGCGAGAATTTCTTTTTGAATTTATATGAAAGTGGTGGATCCTTAGAGTCTAGCACTCCTTGGATCCTTAGGTGACCACTCTCGAGGTGCACACCTCGAGTTGTGGTCGCTTCGTCTTTCATCCCTAAAATGCCTAACCTCGTTTAAACATTTCAAAATTCGCAAACCCTAATTCAAGCGGTATGCTCACCCTATTCTAATCTACACACTAATATTTTCAAAATATTTTCATAATTAAATTACGAAAGTGTCGAGTTCTTGGAGCCGCGCATTCTTTGAATTCGAGAATAATTGCTATCGAGGTGTACACTTTGAATAGTATATCATTCGAACTTTCGTTCCTAAAATACATCCTCTAATTATTTGGATAAATATTCACTATCCAACAAACATATTTCATAATTAATGGAATTAAAAAGATGTTGTCGGAATCTAGCATTCCAACGATACCCCGACTAATTGGTTACAAGGCTGACGTCTTGCTTATCGAATAGCTGTCATTCCTCCTAACTTTTCAAACCATCTAATCTTGTTCCTCACCTTCATACGGTCGAGTCTAAACCCTAGTATGTTTCTAAACCGTATATCAAATTCAAATTATTTTCTTAACTAAATTACGAAAGAATGGAGTTCTTGGAGTCTCGCACTCCTTGAATTCTTGAGTAACCACTCTTAGGGTGTACGCTTTAGGTTGTGGATTACTCGACCTTTCGTTTATAAAATACATGCCCTAACTACTTTGACAAATACCACCATTGTCCATTTAAATACATTTTCATAATTAATTAAATGAAAAAGGTGTTATTGGGATCTAGCATTTCAATAATATCCCGATTAATTGATTGCGAGGCTGACGTCTCGTTTATCGAGTAGTCGTCATTCTCCCTTAAAATATTCAACCCAACTTTCTTCTCTCGCCCCCGTGCGATTGAAACCTTCTCAAACACATTTCGTAGAATCTTTTCGAATGAAAAAGGTGTCATTGGAATCCAGCATTCCAGTAATTTCCCGATTAATTGATTGCGAGGCTGACGGCTCGTTTATCGAATAGTCGTCATTCTCCATCAAATTACCTAACCAAACTCCTCTTTCGCGCCCCCGTGCGATCGAAACCTTAAACCTATTCAAATATATTCTCTAACTAAAACATCCAATACGATAAACCAAATTCCTCGCCCTCGTGCGATTTCCAATCCAAACACCTTTTCCTAAAGAACATTGTTTAGTCCCTTTTTCCGCGCATAACAAACTAGTGCTTCAGCCTCCCCTAGCGAGCAGACAAGCCAATGTTTAGCAGTTAGAATGCGACCTAAACACTCGTTTCGTTTACCAAACCCACAAACCGTAGTTAGCCGAACTATGGCTGCTCTGATTCTTCATTCTCTTTCGAATGTAAGATACGTAAGCACAAGATTGCGATGATCTTGGCGAGCACAATCCCCCTTTTTTATCCGTAGTCCCACGAACTACGAATGCTCTGATTTTCCACTTCTTATAAGTGAAGATACGTAGGCCCAAGGGCCCCAATCCTTGGCGAGCACCCTATCCTATAACCATCCATTCCCCCTATTGGAGAAACCTTAGAAGAAAACAAACAAGCGTAGTTAACTTTACTCTCGAATCGATCAAGAGGTTCCCGTTGAGTACAACAGACGTAGAGGGTGCTAATACCTTCCCTCTGCGTAATCGACTCCCGAACCTAGAATATTGGTTGCGATGACCATGTTCTTATCTCTTTAAAGGTTTTATCGATATTTTCCTATTCCATCCTTGGAATGAATAAAGTTCGGTGGCGACTCTGTTTCGAACAGTATTTTCCGCGGCCATCGCGAGGATCGTATTTTTCGAGGTACGACACATCTCTCAGCTCAAGTTGCCAAATCAATAATTTATTTTCACGTTGCAAAGATTGCATCTCCCTCTATCAAATGCAAGAAGAATCACCTCATAAAATCTCCTACATTGTGAGAACCATGGCTGCAAAAATTGAATTTCAAAGATGGATTTTCACTCCAAGTCAGATTTGAATTTGATTGAAATGGCTTCTAATCACCAAATTAACGCATGAATTTCACTTAAACATGTTTAACCAACTTACTAAAGTGATTAGCACCTTGAAACGTATGATTTGAGTGAGTTTTGTCAGATTGCAAGTCACACTTTGCTCATGCTGCAGGTGTGCATGATTTCCATCCAAATTGCCTCATTCACCCTCCATTTTGATTCAGAAAGTTTCTCCTATAAGTAGGGAGTGATTTCCACCCATTTCTACAAGATTTTGATAGCCAAAACCACTATGTTAAGATCCCATTTTAACTCTTAAGCTTGAACTTCAAATTTCCATTTTCCAGACCTTAATCACTCAAATTCTCCACTCAGTTAGCTTCACCAACATTCAGTGAAGCTAACCAGATCAAGAAATTGAAGAATCGTGGCCTGAATCAAGCTAGGGAACTCCATTTTCAGAGCTTCAAGGTTGAGCTTCAACGAGTATAATTCTCAACCATTTTGATTCAAATTTGTTGCTAAGATATAGTCTTTGACATGTTGTTGTTGTTTGTATAGTTAGTTTTTAGTTATAGTTGAGTTTTGTTGTTGAATTTTCAAATTCGTGTTTGAACCGTGTTCTGTTTTTTTTCAAATCGAGTGAGTTGTGGTTTAAAGAAATTTGGCGCGATGATATGGTTGAGATCGTCTTGAAAAGACGCGTCAAATGAAACCATTATGAGCTCCAATTATTATGGTTTGAGAGATGCACGATTTACTGCAAATCTCTGGTTATTTCAACTGGTTGGAGGTTGAAGATGATGATCTCACCGTCCATCATGCCACTTGTTCTAATCTGGTGCTTTTGACTTTAAATGGATCTGTGTGTAAGTCGATTGTCTTCATGATCGCCATCAACCTTATAGCCTTCTCTTGGGGTTTGTACAACGACGCTTGTAACACACTTCACACACATGTTTGCTTGTATGAATGGTTTACATAAAATTAAAATCAACTCTCTTCAAAGAAACAAACAAACTTGATCCAACGTCAAGTATTTTTCAAAACAAATGCCATTAACCACCAACTTCTTTCAAGCATACTTGATCCACATATCAAGTTCCTAAC